GTTAGGGACCGGTGTGTGGAGGGGGACTGATGGTCTCCTGAGCTCATATGTGTTTGATAAGTGACTGACGGATGAATGGCTCAGCTCCTTCCTCTATACTATTACCTTCCTTCCTTCCTTCCTTCCTCCTGATGGATGAATGGATGGATGAATGAACTCCACCCTCTCTACTTATTATCTTCCTTCATTCTTTTCCCCTTCCTCACGTCTTTCCTTCCTTCCTTTCTTCCTTCCTTTCTTCCTTCCTTCCTTCCTTCCTTCCTTTCTTCCTTCCTTCCTTCCTTTCTTCCTACCACTTTTTGTGCTGCGTGTTTATGTCTTCAACGTGTCTGTCTGTCGAGTGGATAATGAGTGGGAGGAGGAGATAAATGTCTCTCCTTCATCTCTCAGTTTTCCATTAATTATTATTTTGCTTTAATGTCTCAAGAGCTGTGTAGATGCGCCTTAGATCTCCACTTGACGCTCACTCACTCACTCACTCACTCACTCACTGGCGGAGAAGAGAAATAGTCATATCTACGAGTAATTTATATTTTTGTTTTATTTTTGTTTGTGTCCCGGATGTTGTGTTCGCGTTGAGTCGGATTCTCGAGTCGGATTCTCGTGTGTTATTTATGTGAGTAATTCCTGGACGCTAATATGAACGAGTGTTGAGAGAGAGAGAGAGAGAGAGTGAGAGTGAGAGAGTCTTGGAATTATATAGTGGCTGGTGTTTAACAGGGTCACAACTCTTGCCTTGCCTCACCAGTGTCACAGGTCCACACACACACACACACACACACACACACACACACACACACACACACACACTCACACAGAACCATTCGCCTCAGTTTCCATAAATTTGGCAACTGACAGGCGATAAAGTCCACTTAAGCTGTTCACTCACTGTTCTCTATAACTGTCCAGTCAGCTGAACCTTGTAACCCAATGACTGATCGGGTCAGTCTGGTGTTATCTTGTGTTTGGTCTGTTAGCCAAGCGTTGTCCTGTTGTGATGGTGGCGCGTGACAGGAGAAAGTGGCTATTGTACTGTACTCCCACTACATGCTTTCCCCTCCTGCAACCCCTGGGAGTCAGATGATCTCTCTCTCTCTCTCTCTCTCTCTCTCTCTCTCTCTCTCTCTCTCTCTCTCTCTCTCTCTCTCTCTCTCTCTCTCTCTCTTAAAGTTGGGAAAAACAAGAGACCAGGAAGAAATATTGTTAGTATTCTTCAATCTTTGTATTTATTTTGTAGGAACACTCACAACATGAGATGTCCGTATGCCCATAGATTGAAGCGTGTAGGTGGAGCCTGTGATCTCCTTCCCTCCTTCACCTCCCTCCTTCCTTCCTTCCTTCCTTCCTTCCCTCCACTACACTCCACAATCAAATTTGAGTCCTCCATTTGTGAGCGAGGGCCGCCAGCCTTCTCCTCCTCCCGGGTAGAATTTATCTGTTTTCCTGGGAGTGTCATGGTGGAGGCAGCCAGGCCCCAGTGGTCAGGGTCTAGGCTCTGACCCTCCCTCCCTCCCTCCCTCAGATCAATATTCACCCGTATATAATGTCTGAAATTGCGAATCTTGACCGATAATAATGACTACCGTCGTAAAATGCTGTATTTCTCCCTCCACGACACGCACCCTTCCTTCCCTCCCTCCCCTCCCTCCCACGCTCTCTCCATCCCTCCATTCACCGTCCCTCCCTCCCTCCCTCCCTCCCTCCCTCCCTCTCCCCACCAACTATACCCGTATCATCTCCCCCTCCTCGCTTACCCCCACCTTTCTCTCCCTATTCTTTCCTCTTTGTCTCCCTCTCCCTATATTTCCTCACCTTCTCCTCTCCATTTTAACCCCTCACCCCTCCCTCCCTCACCTCTCCCCTCCCCTCCCTCCCTCACACCCTCCTCCCATATAGATTTAATAATTATACGTCTATGACCTGATAACCCTGACTCACCCATCTCCCCCTGACTCATCCATCTCCTGACTCCATCTCCTGACTCACCAATTTCCTCCCTGACTCATCCATCTCTCCCTAATTCATCCATCACTCCCCGACTCACCCATCACCCCCTGACTCATCCATCATCCCCTGACTGGTTTGGTTAGGTTAAGTCAGGCTGAATTGAATTAAAACAGTTTATTTAGACAGAGCTCTCTTTTAGGCACCTGATATATATACTATACATTTATCTCAAGGAAATATTATGTCAGGTTAGATTAGCGTTTAGGTTAGGTTAGATGAGGTTATGTAAGGTTAGATTAGCGTTTAGGTTTGGTTAGGTGAGGTTATGTAAGGTTAGATAAGCGTTTAGGTTAGGTTAGGTGAGGTTATGTAAGGTTAGATAAGCGTTTGGGTTAGGTTAGCGCTTAGGTGGTTAATCAGGGTAAATCATGTAGTAAGGTCCCCAGTGTTGTAATTACATGTAGTAAGGTCCCGGAGTAAACACATGTAGTAAGGTCCCGGAGTAAACATATCTCCCTTTTCTACTTCTCGGATTGACATGCAGATTGATTTTAAAGGTCACAAGGCCCTTTATTGAGCATATCACTCAAGCTTTTACATGAGACCCTTTCGTTTAACATTGTGGCTCTGGGGTAAGCATAGTAACCTTTTCTTTTAACATTGTGGCTCTGGGGTAAGCATAGTAACCTTTTCTTTTAACACTGTGGCTCTGGAGTAAGCATAGCAACCTTTTCTTTTAACACTGTGGCTCTGGAGTAAGCATAGTAACCTTTTCTTTTAACACTGTGGCTCTGGAGTAAGCATAGTAACCTTTTCTTTTAACACTGTGGCTCTGGAGTAAGCATAGTAACCTTTTCTTTTAACACTGTGGCTCTGGAGTAAGCATAGTAACCTTTTCTTTTAACACTTTGGCCCTGGAATAAGCATAGTAACTTTTTCTATTAACATTGTGGCCCTGGAGTAAGCATAGTAACCTTTTCTTTTAACATTGTGGCCCTGGAGTAAGCATAACATCAACCATTTTTATGTAAGATGAGCACAGACTTATTTTTTTTTGTAAATTTTATAGGAAATAAAGTTTAATTATCAACGAAACACGACAGAAGACCACCATGAACCCCTGAACAAGCATAACAAGGTCTTGAAATAATATAATAAGAGTTACGTGCTGTCATGGCTGCCCTGTAATGAGCGTAATGATGCCTCTGCCTTTGTTTACATGGTATTTATTATTTTGGTTCCATGATGATGATGATGATGATGATGATGATGACCCTGGAGCAAGCTTAACCATAAAACCTTGGAGACAGTTTATATCATTACCATGGAGTAACTTTGAACATTTTACCTTAAGACAAACACGAACATAACCTGGAAATAGGCACCATCATAAACGGAAATAACTTAAAGCAACCGAGAAATAATCTTAAATATAACCTGGAAATAAATTAAAATATAAACCAGGAAATAAGCTCAACACATTACCCGGGAACAGCCATAAAATCGGCGAGGAGTAAACAAAGGCCCGTGAGCAAGCATAACATCATCTGGGAATTACAATGTAGTGACGCCTCTCTTGAGTAGCCATTATGGGTCCCTGGAGGAAGCATTACGACGCCCCTGAGTGAGCATAATGTCTCCCCTGATAAAGTGGCAGCTTCCCCCTACCCCCCCCCCTCTCGCCGCTCTTGAAGTGTACATAAACGAGCCACTTTAAAGAAACTTTAATGATGATTTTTAAGTAGTAGGCAGCTATCAAACAGGGAGGTACTACCGCCTGGGAAGATATTGGAAGCATATTGTGTTGTCTAATGGTAGACCCTGCTGCCATATGTGACCAAGTCCCAGGTTGATGATCTGACTTTCTGCCTCATGTACACACAATTGCAGGGTCTCAATTGTTTCTCTTACCATGACAACACAACATACATATATTGTTTCTCACTGTCGATCTTTTTTACATTTTTGTATTTCTATATTATTATTATTATTATTATTATTATTATTATTATTATTATTATTATTATTATTATTATTATTATTATTATTATTATTATTATTACCCCCCATGCCCCGATGTGGGTCAGTGACCTGTGCTCGGGTGGGCTAATCCCCGTAAAAAAAAAAGGTAGATGTTAATTGCGTCACTACTTAATGTTTACCTGAAGTAAGCGTAATGGTGCCCGTGAACAGGCGTAACAACTTATATCCCCCCTGAAGGAGCATAATGACTCTCACGGGGTAATGGTCCAAGTAACAGTATGATTTATTACGGATGGTTATGACGTGTTTCTACTTTTTCTTCCTCTCTGTCTGGCTGTTTGTTTTCCTCCTTCACTTTATCTCTCTTTTCGTATTTCTTTTTCAATTTCTCTTTTCTTTCCCTTCGTTTTTCTTCATTATTTTCTGGTGTTTTGGCTGGTTGGGGGAAGGGACTTGATCTATTATATGCTAACCTAACCTAATTTAACCAAACCCAACGTTAACCTTTATACCTAGGCTAACCTAATAGACAGACAGACAGACAGACAGATAGATAGATAGATAGATAGATAGATAGATAGATAGATAGATAGATAGAGTCACCAGGAGAAGTTAGTGGTAGTGGAACCATCTTCTGTCTCCCCCCTCCCCCTCCTCCCCCTCCTCCTTCACCAGCTGTTGCCGAATTGCCTATCTCTCCTCCCTTCCTGCCACTCCCCCTGAATGACAGCTTGTAGAAGGGGAGAGAACGGAGGCGAGGAAGAGGAAGAAGAGGTAGAGGGGGGTTTAGGAGGAGGAGAGAAGGAGGAAGAACTAAAGGGGGGTGTTTAGGGAAACGGGGGAGGGGAGAGGAAAGGGTGGGCGTAGGAGGAGGTGGTGGAGGGGAGGGGAGGGGGGAGGATGGGTGGGAGGTAGCTAATGGTGGCAGTAGATGTGGAGCTCTGAGTTTCACGTACATTTACCTTCCTTTCAGATTGTTGACCGCTAGCCCCTTCCTCCCCTTAATTTCACGTACAATTACACTCCTCCCCTCAGTTCACGTACACTAATCCTCCCCCTCTCCCCGTTAGATGTACGTGATGTGCGTGCTGGACTACGAGTTTCACGTGCTGGACAACGCCTTCTTGGTTCACCGGCCGGGCATCAAGAGGCACCGCCGTGACCGTCACCGCGACCTGCTCACAGCCAGACAGAACGCCCTCCTCCACAGCAAGATCACCCCCGAGCTACACACTATCTACGGCAAACGGGGGATGTGCTTCTTGTAGCACCCCCAGGCCTCCTCCAGGTGGGTTCTTGTGTCTTGTAGTATCCCCAGGACTCCTTCAGGTGGGTCTTCATATATTGTATCACCCCCTAGGCCTCCCCCAGGTGGCTCCTTATGTCTTATAGCACCCTCAGGCCTCCTCCTCCGGCTCGGTCCTTGTGTCAAGTAGCACCGCCGAGGACTTCCCGCAGGTGGGTCCTTATATCTTGTCACACCTCCCACGCCTCCTCCGGGTAGGTCCTCGTGGCTGATATCAACTTTCAATTCAGGATTTATGTATTCGTTACTTGTAGTGCTGTACATATGTCGAGGTTGTTTTCATCAGTGTACGGTACAGGTTCACGGCCGAGTTACTGTACAGAAAAGATAGATGTTTTGCTTCGGGGATTTTAATGACTTGACTAAACGTGACCACCGCTCTATGCTGGGTTGTGCACTCAAATTCTCTAAACAAAACTGAAATATATTTTGACGATGCCTGATAGATAAATGAATGATGTAAAGTTAAATGTATAATGAATAGAAAGGTAATTTGTCCTTCATTTTGAGGCAAAGAGTTCATAAATTATTCCAAATCACCATACATATTACTGTGTGTATTGATGGTTGGGGCTAGAAAATGAGTGACGGTGAGTGACGGTGAGTGGTGTTCGTCTGTCGCCACCACCTCTACCACCACCTTGCCTTAACCATGCCACTACAACCACCACACTCCACCACAACCACTTCACACCCCCACAACAACCAAACCCCACACAACAACACCCCCACAACAACCACATCCCCACAACACACCCCCCACACAACCACACCCCCACAACAACCACACCCCCAACAACCCACACACCCCCAACAACAACCACATCCCACAACAACAACCACACCCCACAATCACCCACAACCCCACAACAACAACCACACCCCCACAACAACTATTACATCGCCACCACTACCACAACACTATAATTTCCACCACCATAATCTCGACTCATCCCCCTCCACCCCTTCCACCATCCCACCCTTTCCTCCCCCTTCCTCCCCTCCCTTGCCATTGATCGCCACACACACACAACTATATCGACCAGTCAGTGTTGCTTCTGCCACTGTTACACCATCACCTTATGTATTTGATACCATCGTCACTGTCACTCAGTACCACTGTCAACGTCACTGTCACTCATCATCACTGTCAACGTCACTGTCACTCATCATCACTGTCAACGTCACTGTCACTCATCATCACTGTCAACGTCACTGTCACTCATCACCACTGTCACTCATCGTCACTCACTATCACTGTCACCACAAACTATCTCCTGGTATATCAAATTGTTTCCTAGTAACTAGTAGTCATCCACCTAGTAACCGTACTCACCCACCTAGTAACTAGTACTCACCCACCTAGTAATAGGACTCACCCACCTAGTAATAGGATTCACCCACCTATAAACTAGTACTCACCCACTTAGTAAGTAGTACTCACCACCCACCTAGTAATAGTACTATAGTACTCGCCCACCTAGTAACTAGTATTGACCCACCTAGTAAGTGGTACTCGCCCACCTGGTAGTGTGGTGGAGGTGGTCGTGTGGTGAGTCACCTGGACTGACCCTCACCTGTAATTTGCGTAATGATGGTGGAGGCGGGGGGGGGGGCACCTGGTGATGGTGAACGTGAGGTTGTTGGTGTGATGGTGAGGGTACTGATGTGATGGTGAGGGTGGTGTTGTGATGATGAGGGTGGTGTAGTGTGATGGTGAGGGTGATGATATGAAAATGGTAGTGATGGTGATGGTGATATATGATGATGATGATGAAGGTGATATTAACAAGAATGACATTCCCAGTGATAGTTATAACGATAGTGATGATGGTGACGCAACTCCTGAGATCATCATAAACAAAATATTACATTCGTGGATCGAAAATTTATTACACAATATATCTAATTTTGACACAATACATAAAGGTTTTCCTCCATTTGTACCTGTCGACAGCGTGAGGGAGGGGGAGGGGGGAAGGCTGACGTACCGTGTGGAGAGGAGGGAAGGAGAGAGGGAGGGGGAGAGAGAGAGGAGGGATTAATGTAAGTTGGCGGTGAGTAAGCTGAGTCAACAGTTGAACAACAATTTACGACCGCTGCTCCAAGACGCGTGATGACTGATGGAAGCGTCTGTGTTCCCCCCCGCGGGATTATGACCACACGCCACGGGGAATATTGAAACCTGCTGATATTATTATTATTATTATTATTATTATTATTATTATTATTATTATTATTATTATTATTATTATTATTATTATTATTATTATTATTATTATTATTTAAAACCATTTTCATCTTTAGATTCGTGTGGTGACAGATGGAAGTATTTATGTTTCTCCCCACGATGACCTTCACCATGGATAGTATTGGAACCTGTTTTCGTTATAGTGCCTTTATTTTTTTATATAACCAATAATTTACGTTTAAGATCGTCCTTCCTCTACGATGTTTAATGAGTGATGGAAGAGTCCCTGTATTTCCTCCTGGGATTTTGACCTCAAGCCAAAGAGAATATTGGAACCTTTCTTATTTTTTAATCATTATTGGTAATATTGTATTCTAGGATCCGGTGCCAATTTCAGTTTTAATTCTGACAGATTACAACATTGGTCTGTTTGTTTTTGATGGTAGAGGTGACGATTTTAATGAGTGAAATATAATAAAGTGCCTTGTTTTTTAACCGTATAGGATCAGACTTATTTTTAGGCTTAAGTCTGATTTTAGCAGGAACGAACAAAGTCTGGCAGTGCTCAGTGGTCCGTTCTGTTAAATTCAGGCACAAGTCAGTGATGGTTTGTGTATATTTGACCGTGGATGCAGAGACAGTGGGCTGTTTCCTCGACACACTGTTAACCACCAAAAAATGGGCGTTGGATGTGACTTTTCGAAATAAAATGTTCAAGACCGCGTGAATACAAACATGTAAAATTATTATTATTATTGTTATTATTAGATTAGTAAATTCAAGAATCTGTTCACCTTCTGAAATGTCTAATAAGTTTTAGAACTCCTTGTGTTTCCCGACAGGATTATGACCATCACCAAAGAGAATATTGGAACGTTTATTTGTGGGAGGTGGTAGTCCAGGCCAAGAGGGGAGGTCGTACTGGCCGGGGGGCTTTCCAGGTGTGTAGGGGCTCGTCCAGGCCGCCTGAGAGGTCGTCCAAACCGGCTGATGGACCGTTCAGGCAAGCGGTGGGTTCTCCAGGCAAGAGGGGTAGTGGGTCGTCCAGGAGGGATGGTGGGTCGTACGGTCCTTAAGTTTGACAAAAAATATGAAGAAAAATAACTGATGTATAAGTGGGAATACGAAAAATTCTCTCTCTCTCTCATCCTCCAGTTCCATCCCTCCATTGTACCCTCCTCCTCCCTCCGTGACATTTTCCCTCCCTCCTTCCCCTCCACTTTCTCTCCCCTGTGATCTTCCCCCTCCCTCCCTCCTGACTTCTTCGTTCCCTTCCCCTATCTCCCCCTTCCCTATCCCCTTCCTTCCCCTTCCTTCCTCCCCATCTCTCAGCAGTGGTGCAGCAGAGGAAGGTCTTGCCCTGCTCTTATCTTTCCGCCCTGCTGGTCACCGCTGCCTCCAGGCCTCCCACACCACCCGCCCACACCACCCACCCACCACCCGCCCACCCACCCACCCACACCACCCGCCCACACCATCCACCCACACCACCCTCATAGCCTCCTCTACTGGTGTTGAAGGTGAATCAAGAAGCGGTAGCATATATGTAACCTGATACCTTAATCCTGAATTAAATTAATCAGTTAGATAAGATAAGTAAGTTTTAGCTCGTCACTTTAACTCTCATAATCTTGATAGGTGTGTGTGTGTGTGTGTGTGTGTGTGTGTGTGTGTGTGTGTGTGTGCGAACTGTAGGATGCCTAGACAACGGGAAAACAGACGAGAGAGTTCAACAAGGTAACAGTCAACAGTACAACAGAGGCATTAGTTACCCCCCACCTTCCCCACAAAGCTTCGTAAACATGAATTATTCCTCCTAAGTGAAAAACAAATGAACTATATTTTAAACTGTTTGACTTACGAGAAAAACACAAAAAACGGACATCAAAATAACGCTTAATATTTACCATAATTAGATACGATATCTTTGCCTTTTTATCGTAAGTTAAGCTTCAAATGTAGTCTCTATCTTCACTCACTAGGGATATTTATTTTAGGAACATTTGTAAATCCAACTACTGGAATGGTAAGAGATTAATTTATTATGTTCTACGCAGCATTATAGGTCATTGTGTACCTAGATTGTCTGTCAGCCTGTGCATCTAACACATGATGGGGTTGTCAGTGGGTGGAAGCTGCCCGGCAACAACTGATGGACTTTCAAGGTCTCTGCCACGTTTTCACAACAATAAATTAAAAGATAGCATAAACTGTTGCGTTTCTTACTTGCTCTAAAAGTGGACCAGGTCTTACAGTCTCCTCAGACATTAGTAAGTTATATTCTTTCTCAAAAATAGGGAAATAAATTGTTTAGAAAGAATTGTTAATTTTTATTGATGCTTGAAAAATGAGAGAGGAAGAGAAAGTTAGAGGGAACGGAATATAGAGAGAAAGAGTGGAAGACTGAGCAAGACATACATAAAAGAGATAGAGACAAACAGAAAAATATAACATTAAATTAAATTACGTACAGTATCCCGTATATTCCGTTTTCTGTGATGCTCGTCTCGTTTTCTGTGGTGAGGACGATACTGCCAGTTTTACTAACATAGTCTTCTTATCAGTCAAGGCTCTGAGTTGAACTTCCTACACACGACACAATAGTGAAGTGGTGGAGAGGTCGCTGCTGTGTTGGAGGGGGTCGTTGCTGTGTTAGAGATGCCGCTGCTGTGTTGGAGATGCCGCTACTGTGTTGGAGAGGTCGTTGCTGTGTTGTAGAGGTCGTTGCTGTGTTGTAGGAGTCGTTGCTGTGTTGGAGAAGTCGCTGCTGTGTTGCGTTGGGGAGAGGTCGTTGCTGTGTTGGAGATGCTGCTGTTGTGTTGGAGATGCTGCTGCTGTATTGGAGATGCCGCTGCTGTGTTGGAGATGCCGCTGCTATGTTGGAGATGCCGCTGCTGTGTTGGAAATGCAGTTGCTGTGTTGGAGATGCCGCTGCTGTGTTGGAGATGCCGCTGCTGTGTTGGAAATGCCGTTGCTGTGTTGAGATGCCGCCTATGTTGGAGATGCCGCTGCTGTGTTGGAAATGCCGTTGCTGTGTTAGAGAGGTCGCTGCTGTGGTAATCAGTACATCGGTTGGAGGCGGGAAAATCATTACACAGAGCGCAATGCAGTGGAGGTCCTGGCTAGCTGTGCAGCCCGGGGCCCTTCTTCACCACTCACTCTTCTTCCTCCTCCTCCTTCTAACACTTCTTCATGTTCTTCTTCTTCTTCCTCTTCCTCCTTCCCCTCCTCACACTTTTTTTTTTCTTCTTTTTCTTCTTCCTTTCGTCAACGTATTAAGCCCCCTCCTCTTTATGCCAACTCCTTCCTCCTCCTCCTCCTCCTCCTCCTCCTCCTCCTCCTCCTCCTCCTTCCTCCTCCTCCTTCCTCCTCCTCCTCCTCCTCCTCCTTCCTTCCTCCTTCCTCCTCCTCCTCCTCCTTTTCTTCATCGTCTCCATTCTTCCATCTTCGGTTCATCCACTGTCTGCATTAAGCATTTCATCTAGACGAATAGAATTGCTGTTGGAGAGATGCTGTTGGAGAGTTGCTGTTGGAGAGTTGCTGTTGGAGAGTTGCTGTTGGAGAGATGCTGTTGGAGAATTGCTGTTGGAGTGGCTGTTGGAGAGATGCTGTTGGAGTTGCTTGGAGATGCTGGAGAGATGCTGTTGGAGAGTTGCTGTTGGAGAGTGGCTGTTGGAGAGTTGCTGTTGGAGAGTTGCTGTTGGAGAGTTGCTGTTGGAGAGTTGCTGGAGATGCTGTTGGAGAGATGCTGTTGGAGAGTTGCTGGAGAGTTGCTGTTGGAGAGTTGCTGTTGGAGAGTTGCTGTTGGAGATTCTGTTGGAGAGTTGCTGTTGGAGGGTTGCTGTTGGAGAGTTGCTGTTGGAGAGTTGCTGTTGGAGAGATGCTGTTGGAGAGTGGCTGTTGGAGATGCTGTTGGAGAGATGCTGTTGAGAGTGGCTGTTGGAGAGTGGCTGTTGACGAGTGGCTGTTGAGAGTTGCTGGTGAGAGATGCTGTTGGAGAGATGCTGTTGGAGAGGGCTGTTGAGAGATGCTGTTGGAGAGTGGTGTTGCGGTGTTGGAGAGTTGCTGTTGGAGAGTTGCTGTTGAGAGATGCTGTTGGAGAGTTGCTGTTGGAGTGTTGTTGGAGTGTTGCTGTTGGAGAGTGGCTGTTGGAGGAGTGTTGGAGTGGCTGTTGGAGAGTTGCTGTTGGAGAGATGCTGTTGGAGAGATGCTGTTGGAGAGTGGCTGTTGGAGAGTGGCTGTTGGAGAGTGGCTGTTGGAGATGCTGTTGAGAGATGCTGTTGGAGAGTGGCTGGAGAGGGCTGTTGGAGAGTTTCTGTTGAGGAGTTGCTGTTGGAGAGTTGCTGTTGGAGGAGCTGCTGGAGAGTTGCTGTTGAGAGTTGCTGTTGGAGTGTTGCTGTTGGAGTGTTGCTGTTGGAGAGATGCTGTTGGAAGTTTCTGTTGGAGAGTTGCTGTTGGAGAGAGTTGCTGTTGGAGAGTTGCTGTTGGAGAGTTGCTGTTGGAGAGTTGCTGTTGGAGTGTTGCTGTTGGAGAGTGGCTGATGGAGATGCTGTTGGAAGTGGTTGTTGGAAGTGGTTGTTGGAGAGTGGCTGTTGGAGAAATGCTGTTGGAGGTTGCTGTTGGAGAGATGCTTTTGAAGAGTGGCTGTTGGAGAGATGCTTTTGAAGAGTGGCTGTTGGAGAGTTGCTGTTGGAGAGTTGCTGTTGGAGGTTGCTGTTGGAAAGCTGCTGTTGGAGAGTTGCTGTTGGAGATTTGCTGTTGGGTGTTGCTGTTGGAGAGTGGCTGTTGGAGATGCTGTTGGAGAGTGGTTGTTGGAGAGTGGCTGTTGGAGAAATGCTGTTGGAGAGTTGCTGTTGGAGAGATGCTTTTGAAGAGTGGCTGTTGGAAGTTGCTGTTGGAGAGTTGCTGTTGGAGAGTTGCTGTTGGAGGCTGCTGTTGGAGTTGCTGTTGGAGAGTTGCTGTTGGAGAGATGCTGTTGGAGAGTTGCTGTTGGAGGTTGCTGTTGGAGAGTTGCTGTTGGAGAGTTGCTGTTGGAGAGTTGCTGTTGGAGGTGCTGTTGGAGAGATGCTGTTGGAGATGCTGTTGGAGAGTTGCTGTTGGAGAGTGGCTGTTGGAGTTGCTGTTGGAGAGTTGCTGTTGGAGAGTTGCTGTTGAAGTTGCTGTTGGAAGTTGCTGTTGGAGAGATGCTGTTGGAGAGATGCCGTTGGAGATGCTGTTGGAGAGTTGCTGTTGGAAGTTGCTGTTGGAGAGAGATGCTGTTGGAGAGATGCTGTTGGAGAGATGCTGTTGGAGAGTTGCTGTTGAAGTTGCTGTTGGAAGCTGCTGTTGGAGAGTTGCTGTTGGGAGTTGCTGTTGGAGTGTTGCTGTTGGAAGTGGCTGTTGGAGAGATGCTGTTGAGTGGTTGTTGGAGAGTGGCTGTTGGAGAAATGCTGTTGGAGAGTTGCTGTTGGAGAGATGCTTTTGAAGAGTGGCTGTTGGAGAGTTGCTGTTGGAGGTTGCTGTTGGAGATGCTGTTGGAGAGATGCTGTTGGAGAGATGCTGTTGGAGAGATGCTGTTGGAGAGTTGCTGTTGGAGAGTTGCTGTTGGAGTGTTGCTGTTGGAGGTGGCTGTTGGAGAGTTGCTGTTGGAGAGATGCTGTTGGAGAGATGCTGTTGGAGATGCTGTTGGAGTGGCTGTTGGAGAGATGCTGTTGGAGAGTATATTATTGATGGCGCTGTTCCTACCCCTCATCCTCCACCCTCCCTACTCCTTCACCTCATCCTCCACCCTCCCTACTCCTTCATCTCATCCTTCACCCTCCATTATCGCCACTATAAGCTTCCCGCCATAACAACATCGCCAGCACGAGCGATCAACAGCATTTGTCGTTCTCCTCCACCACAACAATGACTCAGCTTTGGCAGCCACTACGCCAGTTAACGTTCGCTTGCCTTCTGCTCAGAGTGGCGGTGTTTTATGGCAGCAGAAGTGGGCCAGGATGTATTGAAGTCGGCCGCAGCTCACAGTGTTACCTGGCCTCTTGTTGTCTCTGTTACCTGGCCTCTTGCTGTCTGTTACCTGGCCTCTTGCTGTCTCTGTTACCTGGCCTCTTGCTGTCTCTGTTACCTGGCCTCTTGCTGTCTCTGTTACCTGGCCTTGCTGTCTTACCCTGCCTCTTGCTGTCTCTGTTACCTGGCCTCTTGCTGTCTCTGTTACCTGGCCTCTTGCTGTCTCTGTTACCTGGCTTCGTGCTGTCTCTGTTACCTGGCCTCTTGCTGTCTCTGTTACCTGGCCTCTTGCTGTCTCTGTTACCTGGCCTCTTGCTGTCTCTGTTACCTGGCCTCCTCCAAATCTCCTCAGGTCTGCCGCAATATTTTTCTCCTCCTCTCTCTGTGTCTCCTATTTTCTTGGCCTTCACAGCGCCGTTTTTAATCTCCATTAAATGGCTGTTATCTCCTGACGGCGGAGGGGGAAGGGGGTGAGGGTTAAGCACTCTTTTGCCTTTAGTCTTTCTTGCTCTCAAATTTACGACAATGATTATTCGCCTTAACGACGTCGAAGGTACAGCGCATGGAAACGATCGTGTTCATCCCTTTTGTGTAACCCTGTCTCTCCCTCTCTCACTTTCTCTCCCTCTCTTTCTCTCTCGCACTCTTTAATTCACCGCCAGATACTTTCTCACACATGCTTGGTAGCCGTAAAACCGCACTACGTAATACAAGTGTAAAATATGTGTTTTGGTTATGACTTCACGGCCAGCTGGTTCACTCTCGCCAACACAAACATGCACTAAAGTCCGCTAACTGTGCCCCGCCTGGATGCACTCTGAACCTGGCTAAACTTACGGTGTCATAAGTCGCTTTAATCCTTCCCGGGGTAGTTACTGTGTTCCGACCCGTCTCCCTCACCTGCCCTGCCTCCCTTACTAACCTGGCCATGAAGGGTGAATGGATATAGTGACCCCACCTCTATCTATCCACCCAAAGACTGTACAGTTTTGACCAGTAGATGACGATCCACACTCATCCAACCCAGATCAGAGTCAGTTAAAGCATAGTAATTACCTAACCTATCTAGCCTAAATCGTGGATAGTGACTAGACGGTGATTTCATGTCGTTCCCTATTCTGTCCCAAACGGTCCGTCGGCCATGTAAACACAGACTGGCCAGCGATACATAATTCGACAATTTCTGGACACTCTTAAGACCTTCACGTGTCCATCATGTGTTATTGGAAACGCTGGAGCCAAATGGTTCCTCCTATGTCCAGATTGGGGCAACGGACCATCCTTGACAAGATTAGGGAAATGGTTCTTCACATGTCCAGATTAAGGAAGTGGCCCCTCCATGTGGTGAAAATTTTGTTGTTGGTGGTAGCATGGTAGTGACGTGGATGGTAAGTGTTGTGATGGTGGTTGGGATGTGAGTAGTAGTGGTGGTGGTGGTGGTAGTAGTAGTCGTAATGACGTGGGTGGTGGTGGTAGTAGTAGTGGTGGTAATGGCGTGTGATAGTAATAGTAGGGCTGTTGATGTCGTTGTGGTAATTGTGGCAGTGATGGTAGTAGTGGTGGTGGTGGTAGTAGTAGTGGTAATGGTGGTTCATAGTAGTGGTAGGGCTGGTGATGTCGTAGTAGTAATTGTGGTAGTGATGGTAGTAGTGGTGGTGGTGGTAGTAGTGGTGGTAATGGCGTGCTTGATAGTAATAGTAGGGCTGTTGATGTCGTTGTGGTAATTGTGGTGGTGATGGTAGTAGTGGTCATGATGGTAGTGGTGGTGGTGGTGTGGTGGTGGTAATGGTAATGGCGTGAGGGATAGTGTGTGGTAGTGATGGTAGTGGTAGTACTGACGGTAGTGGTAGTACTGACGTGGGTGGTAATAGTGGTGGTAATGACTTGGTGTTGGTGTTCATAATGTGGGCAATAATGGTGGTAGTGGTGGTAGTAGCAGTGGTGGTGATACTAGTAGTGGTAGTAGTGGTGGTAGTCGTGTGGGGAGTGTCAAAGCATTACACAAACATTTCCGTCAATTTATCGACTGAAAGGTTACCCGAGGCTTCGACCTGAACCATAGTGATAGCCTTACCTGCTTCTACCTGTAATCTTCCTTATCACTCCATCACTACCACCCCATCACTACCACCCCATCACCCCATCACTACCTCCCCATCACCCATCACTACCACCCCTCCCCATCACTACCTCCCCATCACCCATCACTACCTCCCCACCTCAACATTCACGGCAGGTGTTGCAGGTGTGTATTGAGCCCACAGCAAGACAAGTGCACCTGGTGGTCACTAAGTCTGATACATCACTGACAGTAAAAAGCACACTGTTAGCTGCTGTCCGTATACTTGTTTGATATGGCAACATGTGTGCTCAGAGGCTATGGCATCATGTGTTGTTTCTAGTTGGGAGTTGCTCTTCGTATAGACACTATTGAGAAGCCAAGGTGGAAAAAACAACTGAATCTATACCTGCGCCTCCCCCTCCCCCCTCGGCCATTTACACTCACCCACAAACACTCTTTGGTAACTTGTATCGTTCTATTTTCTCTTTATTTTGGTTATCGATCTCTGTTAAAAGAAAATTATGAATGATATGGAAACGACAAGGACGAAATGTGAGGAGAAGAATTGTAAGAGACGAGAACGTATTCTGTACTTCGTGTGATATCCCTTACTGTAATCCTGCTGTACCCCCTGCTGTACCTCCTGCTGTACCCCCTGCTCTACCCCCTACTGTACCAAGGAAGCAGAAAGAGAGATCATGTTACAGACACCACCAATATCATTTTCAACTGTTTGTCCCGTGACAGTGAGCGCGGGGTACTGGAGCATGAATACAACAGTAACATGACCTGTGGCACATACTGTACATAATAATATAAAGGGTCCAGCAGGCGTCACCGTCAGGCCCTGGAGTGATGGTCCAGCAGGCGTCACCGTCAGGAGGGCCCTGGAGTGATGGTCCAGCAGGCGTCACCGTCAGGAGGGCCGTGGGTGATGGTCAGCAGGCGTCACCGTCAGGAGGGCCGTGGAGTGATGGTCCAGCAGGCGTCACCGTCAGAAGGGCCGTGGAGTGATGGTCAGCAGGCGTCCCAACAGGGGGGCCGTGGGTGATGGTCAGCAGGCGTCACCGTCAGGAGGGCCGTGGAGTGATGGTCCAGCAGGCGTCACCAACAGGGGGCCGTGGGTGATGGTCCAGCAGGCGTCACCGTCAGGAGGCGTGGAGTGATGGTCCAGCAGGCGTCACCGTCAGGAGGGCCGTGGAGTGATGGTCCAGCAGGCGTCACCGTCAGGAGGGCCCTGGTGATGGTCCAGCAGGCGTCACCGTCAGGGGGCCTGGGTGAGGGTGCAGGCGTCACCGTCAGGAGGGCCTGGAGTGAGGGTCCAGCAGGCGTCACCATCAGGAGCCCTGGGTGAGGTCCAGCAGGCGTCACCGTCAGGAGGGCCTGGGTGAGGGTCCAGCAGGCATCACCATCAGGAGGGCCCTGGGTGAGGGTCCAGCAGGCGTCACCGTCAGGAGGGCCGTGGAGTGATGGTCCAGCAGGCGTCACCATCAGGGGCCTGGGTGATGGTCCAGCAGGCGTCACCATCAGGAGGGCCGTGGGTGATGGTCAGCAGGCGTCACCATCAGGAGGGCCGTGGAGTGATGGTCCAGCGGCGTCACCGTCAGGAGGGCCGTGGAGTGATGGTCAGCAGGCGTCACCATCAGGAGGGCCGTGGGTGATGGTCCAGCAGGCGTCACCGTCACGAGGGCCGTGGGTGATGGTCAGCAGGCGTCACCGTCAGGAGGGGCCGTAGATGGTCAGCAGGCGTCACCATCAGGAGGGCCGTGGAGTGATGGTCCAGCAGGTGTCACCGTCAGGAGGGCCGTGGAGTGATGGTCCAGCAGGCGTCACCGTCAGGAGGGCCGTGGAGTGACGGTCCAGCAGGCGTCACCGTCAGGAGGGCCGTGGAGTGATGGTCCAGCAGGTGTCAGGGAGGCGTTGTGTTACAGGGGAGTCCTCCCAGGAAATAGTGAGCAAGGGCGTGGCTGTCCGGTCTCTCACATATGGCACAGGCGCGAGGCTCTGGGAGGTGAGAATACCAGTCTCCCAGGCAGAGTCGTACTCTCTCTCTCTCTCTTTCTTTCTCTCTCTCTCTCTCTCTGTCACACACACACACTTAGTTAGAGAAAGGGAGAAGAGGAGGAGAAGAGAAGAACACAGGAAGAATAAGAAAAAAGAAAAGAAAAAACAACAAGCAAAAATACAAAACAAAAAACACACAACTTAAAAGACACAAAACACCCGAGAGAAAAAAAAAAGAAAAGAAAAAAGAAAAAAAAAAGAAATTGAATAAAAAAACACTAACACAATTTAAAAACAGAAAAATACCAAGAAAAAACAAAGAGCATAATTAACTTCCGTGGGACTCACTTTACCAGCAGGTGCCTGGGTAGTGGTGGTAGTGGTAGTGGTGGTGGTGGTGATGGTGGTAGTGGTAGTGGTGGTGGTAGTGGTTGAGAGCCCTTGAATTAATCTACTCCTGGACAGTAAAATCCTTCTACCTCCCTCCCCCCTCCCCCTCTCCCCCCATACAACATCTACCTCATTAAAAAAACATCCACATACTTCCTCATCTACCATCTACCCCGGTAACTCCCTCCTTCTTTATAAGTTAACCTAATCATTGCACTTTGGATTTCTTCTGCGTCGAGGTTAAGCGTCCTGGATTTTTGTCGATTTTGCGTTTCCTTCCTTCTCCTCCTCTTCTTCCCCCTCCTCTTCCTCCTACTCCTCTTCTTCTTCCTCTTCCTCCTCTTCCTCCTCTTCTTCCTACTCCTCTTCCTCTTGTTACCTCTCAAAGGGCCCTCACCTTACCTCCGTCACTTGTACACTGGCCTTCACTTATTAAGCGCCCTGAGGTACTGTACACTCCCATGTCATAACTCTGCTTTCCAAAATGTCTATGTATGTATGTATGTATGTATGTATGTATGTATGCATGCCTCTCTGACAGTATTTCTTCCTTTTTGCCCCAGGCGTGTCTCGTATATCTTCACTGCATCAATCGTCGGGGATATTCTCGTATTGTTCCTCCGGGGGGTCTTCCTTTATACTTGAGGCAGATGATGGTTCGCCTCTATCCTTTGAAGGGTTTTACTACTTTACCAGACTGGTGTTTAATGTTCTTAGTATTCGTCTTCATAGTAGTGTAGGTGTGTTGTAGTTGTGTTGTGTTGTGTTTGTGTTGTATCGTGTTTTGTTGTGCAGTGAATAGTTCTCAGAAAAAGTTGTTCTATTTTTCATTCTTCCTTTGTTCATTCATCAGTCATTCAATTTATATTTTAATTTTTTTGTTTTTTTAAGTTTTTCTCTATATTTCTGCCCCTAAATGTTTTTGTCCTTGTATACAATAGTTATTTAGTGTCGTTATCCCCTAAATCATTCAGGTTTTATTTTACTTTTTTTTTATTCTTGTTTTACTGTTGTTATGTTATCTCCCATGTTTATCACGTCTATAGATGTGTGTGTGTGTGTGTGTGTGTGTGTGTGTGTGTGTGTGTGTGTGTGTCAGTCACCCACCAAACACCATTTTTTTTTCACCCCATCTGGTCGTCCTTCTTGGGTTCAACTGGTCGTCCTTGAGTTCAACTGGTCGTCCTCACAGTGTTGTCGTTCGTGTTATTTCCTCCTCAGTACCAGATCACCTGATGATTAGACACCCCAACTTATTTCATCTGATTTGACATTTTAACCTAACCTAACGCTAACCTGACCTAGCCTGACTTAACCCCTCAGGTATAGTTAAGGTGTCTAATCTCCAGGTAATACTTGTTCACAGGTTGGGTTAGGGTAGGTTAAGTTAGGTTAGCTTTAGGTTAGGTTAGCTTTAGGTTAGGTTAGCGTTAGGTTAGGTTAGCGTTAGGTTAGGTTAGCGTTAGGTTAGGTTAGCGTTAGGTTAGGTTAGCTGGGATTGGGTTAGGTTGGTATGTCTCTCGGCACCGTTTCTCCGTCAGTTCATCTTTAACATGATTCATATTTCCTGTCAAAACTTCCACACTTGTTTTACTCGTCTTCAATCAGGTGGGTTTTTGTTTGTTATCAATCAGATCAATGAAACAAAAACTCGTGAGATAATGATGACTTTACTTCCTTGATTAATGATTTTTGTAGTCGAAATATGGTACAGGTTAGCTTAGGTTAGGTTAGCTTTGGTTAGGTTAGCTTTTGGTTAGGTTAGCTTTAGGTTAGGTTAGGTTAGCTGAAGTTAGGTTAGGTTAGCTTTAGGTTAGGTTAGGTTAGCTGAAGTTGGGTTAGGTTACCTTTCGTGTGTATGATTGTTTTAGCTGTTGGTGCTGCTTTTTGTCCTCTATTACAATGCTCAAATAACCTGTACATCCACGAGTTACCTATTAATAGGCTGTGTCCATTTAGGCCTATGGCGATGCTGATTAATTCTCCTGATATTTGGAACATGTGTTTACTCTCTCTCTCTCTCTCTCTCTCTCTCTCTCTCTCTCTCTCTCTCTCTCTCTCTCTCTCTCTCTCTCTCTCTCTCTCTCTCTCTCTCTCTCTGAAATAACAAACACACAACAAACAAACAACAAACACACAACACCTCTTCAAAAATAACACCAACCCCTGAGTGTGGGTGAATAAAACACAAAAACACGATTTTTTTTTGTGTTTGCCTCTAAACTCGTCTCCTCCACTCCCTAATGTTTCTCCCTTCTTCCTCCAACACAAAGGGACGTCTTCTCCCTCACCCTCTAAAGTTCTTCCCTTCTTCCTCCAACACAAGGACGTCTCCTCCCTCACCCTCTAAGTTTTCTCCTTTCTCCAACACAAAGGACGTCTCCTCCCTCACCCTCTAAAGTTCTTCCCCTTCTTTCTCCAACACAAAGGACGTCTCCTCCCTCACCCTCTAAAGATCTTCCCTTCTTCCTCCAACACAAAGGGACGTCTCCTCCTCACCCTCTAAAGATCTTCCTTCTTCCACCAACACAAGGGACGTCTCTCCTCACCTGACAGATGGCAGTGAGGGGGGATACCTTCAGGGACGTCCACCCCTGTGTCCCTCTGGCCAGGGTGAACAGAAAACAATAGACAACTGACTTAATGCACAAGACTAGAACCGACATGGAAGGATCCTTTACTACCACTGCTAATAGTACCTCAAACGGACGGACGGATGGACGGTTGGGCGGAGGGTGGTCACCAAACGCCTCGTTCTTGGTTGTTTTTCCTTGGATGGTCGATGATTGTTGGTGTAGTTCTTCTTCTTTCTTTCTTTCTCTCTCTCACTGTACTACTTACACATTTATCTTCTCTCTTCTATCATTTTATCCTTATCCTTCCTCTTCCTATTCTACTCAATATATTTTCTTAATGTTTTTTTCTTCCTTTGGTGTAAATTTTCCTTATCATGTTTCTCTTATCTCTCTTCCGCTTACTTCCTTTCGCTTTTAAACACCTTTTTCAATACTACTGACGTGTTTTATTTCCTCTTGTCGATACGTTATTGGGTGTTTTTATTGATGTGTTGCCGTGTTTGTGTGGTGTTTTTTTTTTGTATGTGTTGTGTGTTGATAACGTATTTCAATTGGGAAGTTTTGTGTTGTTTGAGAGTTTTGTTTACGTGTGTGTGTGTGTGTGTGTGTGTGTGTGTGTGTGTGTGTGTGTGTGTGTGTGTGTGTGTGTGTGTGTGTGTGTGTGTGTGTGTGTGTGTGTGTCCCCCTTGACGTAGTGATGGAGTCATTGTCCCAGTAACACACTTGACTCGACCCCAGCAGGTTGAGGGGAGTGAGGGAGGTGTGAGGTGAGGAAGACGTGAGGTGAGGGAGGAGAGTGAGATAAGGGGGAGGGTGAGGGTTTTTAGTGAGCCACAATAAGTCGTAGTCGTGTGCTCAGAGTCATTAAGGTTCGTGATTAGTCTTATCAAAATGGCGTCATAATTACACTATGACTCGTTCTTATCACTACCACCCCATCACCCCGTCACCCCGTCACCGCCACCTCTGTCCACCTCTGTCCACCTCAAACTGGAACATACCAGTTGACGGGAATATGAAAGTCCTTGGCTATCAGGTCTCCAACGACCCACCCGTCTGTCTATCTGTCTGTCTATGTCTGTTCGTCCCTCCTGTCTCTTACTTATGTCTGTCTGTGTGTCAATTTGTCGGTGCGTGTGTATGTGGGTTTGGTAGGCCCAGCGCAGATGTTGTTCACACACACACACACACACACACACACACACACACACACACACACACATTGATTTTTTTTATTTTGCCTCTTACAGCGGCTACTTTATTGTGCACCCCACACTCATCCTGTGAGCGGTAGCGCAAAAGGATTACAGAGTAGAGTTTACAACGGGTCATAATAATTAACCCCCGTTGTCAGGATATTATGGCACTGAATGTTACACAGTATTTCAATTACATTATTTGTTTAGTTCTATACATAAAGGGTAACTTATTCACAAATGCGTGAGGCAGTATGTCTGGCCGCACACTTTGTTATTCACATTTGCGTGAGAAGTATTCAAGCACATTGTGTATTTGGTTCTG